CTGCTCCGTGAAGGCGCTCCTCCGCGCGCGGCCGTCGTCGGCGCTGCGGGCGTCGCTCCTGCCGGGCGGCGCGCTCACGCGCGACGATTTGTTGGTGTTGGCGCTCGGCGCGGCGCGCGGCGTCGCGGCGCTCCACGCGGAGCGCATCGTGCACCGGGACCTCGCGTGCCGGAACCTCCTCGTGCACCGCGTCGACGGCGAGTTGCGGGCGGTCGTCTGCGACTTCGGGCTCGCGCGGCTCCGGGCCGCGGCGGCGTCCAAGGGGTTCACGACGCAGGAGCTCGGCCCCGTGCGCTGGGAGGCGCCGGAGTCGCTCGAGCGCCGCGAGTACTCGGAGGCGTCGGACGCCTACGCGCTCGGCTGCGTGCTCCACGAGCTGTCCGCGCGCGGCGAGACGCCCTGGCCGCCGAGCTGGCGCGCGACGGCCGTGGCGCACGCCGTGCTCTCGGGCAAGCGGCCCGCGCCCTGGGCCTGCAGCCCGCCGGCGCTCGCGTTCTGGCGGCGCCGGTGCTTCGAGGCGCGGCCCGCGGACCGGCCGGCCGTCGCGGCCGTCGCCGAGGGCCTGCGGGCGGCCATCGCGCGGAACGCCGCCGCGGCGTCGGCGCTGGAGGCGGCGAAGCAGCGCGTCGGCCGGCTCCAGGCGGGCACGCGCTGCGGCAAAGTCGCCGCGTCGGGGCGCGTCAAGGCGAAGCGCGCGTTCCTCGCCGACGACCTGCGGCGCCTCGGCGTCGCCCGGCGTCCCGCGGCCGCGACGAGTTTCGAGAGATGTCGACCGGGAAATTTTACGAAAGACCGTCACCGACGCGCTCCGTAGGCTTCGCCGCGCCCTTCTTCGACCAGCGCCTCGCGCGGACGCTGGGCAAGTACAGCGACCACCGCACGGCCGTGAGCCTCGCGCGCGTCGCCGGCAGGGCAGCAAAAGAGAGCGACATTCCCAACTTCAAAGGCTCCTATCTCGGCCGTTTTCCACTCGTTTTGGCTGATTTTTGGACGAGCGATCATCTCTCGGAGCGCTCTCGAAGCGTGGATGCTATCTCCGGAACGCGCGCGCGCGGAACACTCATGTTGAAGCGAACTTGAATCTCTCTTTTCCTGCCCAGGTCGCCGGCGTCGCCGTCGTCGAGGAGGCGCCGTCGCTGCCGCCGCGCGCGGCCCTCGCGCGCGACAACGTGCGGCGGCGGCGCTCCTTCAAGGACCTCCAGCTCCGCGCGGAGGACCTCGCGCACGTCGCCGGCGCGGGCGACCTCGCCGTCGCGCGCGCGAGGCGGTCGCGCGTCGTGCGCGTGCGGGAGGCCGCGGGCGAGGTCCACGACCTCGTGCTCCCCGCGGACGCGCCGGCCTCCGTCGCCGACGACTGGGCCGCGGGGCTGAGCTGGTGCGCGGGCCGCCTCGGCGACCGCGGCGCCGCGCGCGCGCCGGACGGCGCGCCGCTCGACGGCCGCGCGGCGGACGCGCACGCGGCCGCGCGCGGCGCCGACCGGGCCGCGGTCGCCGGCGCGGACGGCGCCGTCGACCTCGACGACGAGGAGGCGGGCTGGGCCGCCGTCGAGGCCTGCGCGCGCGGCGGCTTCTTGCTGAAGACGCAGCGCGCCTACGTGGCGAACCAGGCGCCGCCCCGCCACGAGCGCTTCTTCTACCTGTCGCACGACCTCGCGGAGCTCCGCTGGGAGGGCCACGACGGCGAGGCGCGCAAGGAGAAGCACGTCGACCTCGAGGCCGTCGACCGCGTCCGCGCCTGCGCGGGCGGCGGCGACGACCGCGACGGCGACCGCGAGCGCCTGAGCTTCGACACGTGGCCGGCCAAGGCCGCCACGAAGCGGGACCTCGCGCGCGGCGCCGCGGCGCTCGCGCGCGCCGCGGCGCACCGCGACGCGGAGAAGTTCGCCTTCGAGCTCGTCGCGGACGGCGGCGACTGCCTGCTCCACGTCGAGGCGCCGTCCGCGGCGGCCAAGGGCACCTGGCTCCGCGCGCTCGCCGTCGCCCTCGACCGCGTCCGCCGCGACAAGGCCGCGGCGCCGGTCCGCGGCGCTAAGGAGGCACTGCAAGGTCTACTGCACCTTGCAATCGTCGGCGCGTCGCATGGTGTGAGAGCTCTCGCAAAAACAGCTCGATGCCTCGGCTCCTCGTCGTCGCCGGCAGCCCTTGCGGCGGCAAGACGACGCTCGCGGCGCTCGCGTGCAAGGAGCTCGGCGGCGCCTGCCTCGTCGACAAGGACACGCTCGAGTGGCCCCTGGCCAACGCGGCCCTCGTCGCCGGCGGCGAGGCGCCCGACGCCCACGACTGCGACTTCTACGCGGGCACGCTCAAGGCCCTGGCCTACGAGACCTGCTTCCGCGCCTGCGAGCAGAACTGCAAGGCCGGCAACGACGTCGTCCTCGTCGCGCCGTTCTCGACGCACACGAAGGACCCGGCGTGGCTCCAAACGCTCGCGAACCGCTGCGGCGCCGACGCCTTCGGCCTCGCCTGGGTCACGGCGGCGCCCGCCGTGCTCCGGGCGCGCAAGGCGGCGCGCAACGCGGGGCGCGACGCCGCGGAGCTCGCGAGCGCCGGGTCGTCGCTCGCGGACGCGGAGGCCGCGCGGCAGGCGTACCGGCCTCCCGGGCCGCACGCGTTCGTCGACACGTCGGACGTCGCCGAAGAGGCCATGGGCGCCCTCGCGGCGCGCGTCGTCGCCGAGGCCTTCCGCGGCGGCGCGCGCGAGGAGACGCGGCGCGTGCTCTGCTGCGGCCACGCGTGCGTCGACGTCGTCCTTCGAGGCAGCGACGACCTGCCGAGCCGCGAGGGCTACGCGGCCGTCGACGCCTTCGAGCTGCGGCCCGGGGGCAGCGTGTCCAACGTCGCGGCGCAGCTCGCGCTGCTCGGGGCCGGGGGGGGGCTGGCCGCGGACGCGCACACGACGCTCGGAGCGGACGGCTTCGGCGACTACTTGGTCGGCGCGTGGCGGACCGCGGGCGTCGGCACGGCCCGCGTGGCGCGCGACGCGGCCTGCGCGACGGGCGCCGCGTGCCTGCCCGTGTACCGGAGCGACGGCAAGCGCGCGGTCTACTGCGCGCAGGGCTGGAACGCGAGACTCGAGCTCGACGCGGCCGCGCTGGGTGCGTACGACGTGGCGACAATAGGCTACCCCCACGTCATGGGCCCGGCCCTGCGCGGCGCGCGGCTGCGGGCCCTCGCGACCGAGGCCAACGCGCGGGGCTGCTGCGTGTGCCTCGACGTCAACGAGGCCTCGGACGACGCGGCGCTCCCGCTCGGCGACGCGCGGGACGCCTACGGCGCCGTGGGCCTCTTCCACGGCAATTTGGACGAGGCCGCGGCCTGCGCGGGGCTGAAGGCGGCGCTGCTCGCAGCGCACGGCCTCGACGACTCGCTCGAGACGGTCCTCGACGACGCCGCGGTGGAGAACGTCGCGCGGAAGATTCTCGACCGCGGCGCGGGCCTCGTCCTCGTGACGCTCGGGCCCCGGGGCTGCTTCGGCGCCGCGGGCGACGAGGCCCGCCTCCGCCGGGTGCTTGGCCGCGCGTGCCCGCGGCGCCTCGAGGGACTCGCGGGCAAGGCCGCGTTCCGCCGGGCCTTCGCCGTCGAGGGGACCGTCGACTCCGTCGGCGCCGGCGACGCGTTCCTCGCCGGCGCCGTCGCCGCGCTCCTCCGGGCCGCGGACGACGCCGACGCCGCGTCGACGCTCGAGGGCCTCCTCGACGCGGCGCTCGCGTCCGCGTGCTTCCGCGTCGACACGGGCCGGGGCGACGCGCCGCACGTCGGCGCGCTCCTCGCGCGCGCGGCGGCCATGATGCCCCGCCTGCCGTGAAGGCGAACTTTAGCCGAATCCTCGCGCAAACGAGAGGCAAAACTCACTCCGCACGGCCAGGAAGCCGAACCTCGTCGACACACGCTGCCCGCCGGCCGCGGGGCGCGCGCGCATGGCATCGTGAGGCGCCGCGCTTGCGCTCCCCGCCCCGCGCCTCCCGCTCGACCATGTCCGAGAAGCGCGCGTGCCCCCCGGTGAAGCGCGTGCAGAGCTTCACGCTCCACAAGAAAATCGGCTCCGGCTCCTTCGGAGAGATCTTCTCCGGCGTCAACGAGGGCGGGGAGGAGGTCGCCGTCAAGCTCGAGGCCGTGGAGACGCGCCACCCGCAGCTCCTCTACGAGAGCCGCGTCTACCGCGCGCTCGCGGGCTCGGCGGGCGTCCCGACGGTCCGCTGGTGCGGCGTCGAGGGCGACCACAACGCCATGGTCATGGAGCTGCGCGGGGCCCGCGTCCCCCGGGGGCGTCCACGGCGGGGGGGGGGGTCAGCCGTGCTCCGTAGGCTCGGCCCGTCGCTCGAGGACCTCTTCAACCAGTGCGGCCGCCGGTTCACGCTCAAGACCGCGCGGCGCCCGCGCCCCCCGTCGACGCCCCCCCCGCCCCTTTTTTGGAGCGAACCCCTCCCAGGTCCTGAGCGTCGCGGGCCAGCTCCTCGAGCGGCTCGAGGCCGTCCACGTGCGCCACTTCGTGCACCGCAGGGCAGGAAAAGAGAGCGAAATTCCCAACTTCAAAGCCTCATATCTCGGCCGTTTTCCACTCGTTTCGGCTGATTTTTGGACGAGCGATCATCTCTCGGAACGGTCTCGAAGCGTGGATGCTTTTTCCGGAACGCGCGCGCGCGGAACACGCACGTTGAAGCGACGTTGAATCACCCTTTTCCTGCCCAGGTGCACCGCGACGTCAAGCCCGACAACTTCCTCGTCGGCCGCGGCGCCGTCGCGTCGCGCGTCGTCCACGCCATCGACTTCGGGCTCGCGAAGAAGTACCGGGACCCGCGGAGCCACGAGCACATCCCCTACCGCGAGAACAAGAACCTCACGGGCACCGCGCGCTACGCGTCGATCAACACGCACGTCGGCATCGAGCCCTCGCGCCGCGACGACCTCGAGTCGCTGGGCTACGTGCTCATGTATTTGGCGCGGGGGTCCCTGCCCTGGCAGGGCCTCAAGGCGGACACGAAGGCGAAGAAGTACGAGCGCATCAAGAAGCGCAAAATGGAGACGTCGGCGGCGACGCTCTGCGACGGCTTCGCGCCCGAGTTTCGCCGCTACTTCGAGTACTGCCGGAGCCTGCGCTTCGACGACCGGCCCGACTACGCCTACCTGCGCAAGCTCTTCCTCGACGTCTACAAGCGCGAGAAGTTCCGCGACGACAACTTGTTCGACTGGGACTTCCTGCCGCGGCGCGCGCCGCCCTGGGACGCGGCGCGCGGCGCGGACGCGCCGCCGCCGCCGCCCGCGCCGGCGGCGCGCCGCGGCGCGCCCAAGGCCAAGGAGGAGGCGCCGGCGGCCGCGCCGGGCGCGCCCGCGCGGCCCCGCGCCAAGGCCTCGCCCGAGAAGAAGCGCGGCGCCGCCGCGCCGCGCGACGGCGCGCCGGCGCCGCGCCGCGGCAAGTCGTCGCGCGGCGCGCCGGCGCCCGACGCCAATAAGCCGCCGCGCGCCGCCGCGCCGGGGCCCCGGGCCCGCAAGCCCCGGGGCCGCGACGACGCCGCGGACCCGTCGTCCGAGAACGACGGCGGCCCGCGCCGGTCCACGCGCAAGAAGGAGTCCGTCGAGCGCTACGTCGCCAACTCGGCGACCGTCGACTGACCCCCCGTTTTCGCGCGGCCCTTTTTCGACCGCCGCGCTCGCTCGCGCCGCCCTCCCCCCGCGCCCCCGACCCGACGCCACGCCGGGGCGGGGGCGCGCGCTTATCGTGTGTAGCTGCCTCTTCTGCATCCTCTTGCTTTCGATTCGCGTGGATTTGTCGCCTCGTTGAAGTCGTGTTGAAGCCGGCACTGACTCGAGCTGAAAGCCCGCTCGCATCGAGAGGGTGGGCCAGGCTTTCGAGTGGCCTCGACGCTCCCCGGACGCGACACAGCGTGCGCGCGCGTCATGCGGCGACTCCCGGCGCCGCTGCGCGGTCTCGTGCTTGACCACTTACGGTTCCCGGACGTGCTGAGCGCCACAACGACCGACCGTACGGGTCGAGCGGTCCTGGGCGCTGTTCGCAGACTTTCTGGCGTGAATGACCGCGTTATGTCGTCGCCGCACTTGCTGAACAAGGTCCCTCTCTGTGAAATGATTCACATAGAGTCAAGGAACGCCCTCGTGTTCGAGCGCCTCGCCTGGGCCCTGCAGACCCTGCGGCATCTCCGCGGTGTGGCCGTCAGATTCGCCAAAGAAACGGATGAGACCGCCTGGCGTCAGAGCTGCGTGACGCTGTCCAATTCACCAGAGCTCGGCCGTCTCCGAATGTTCCGTCCCTACGGATTTATTACGAAAGGTTCCGCCGAATGTGACGAGTTCAAATCGCTGCTGCTCCAACTCGAATCGGACTGCGCGCTCGTTGCTGCGTTATCTTGGCGTTGCCCAGCCGCTTTCATCTCCGAGCTTATCCGTCGCGGTGCGAACCTGAATGGGGAAATCAAGGGTTTTTATGGTGAAACAAGCGAGCACGTCCTCGAACATGCGTGCTATTATGGGCAGGTCGAGGTCGTTCGGGTGCTTCTTGACGCGGGCTCTATACCTCCTGATCGCAAGGGCACGGGAAGAAACGATGCGTTTGTTAACGCTGTCCTAGAAGGAGCTCTCGACGTCCTCCGACTTCTTTACAATTCAGGCCACAGATCGAGTTTCCGGAGCATACCACGCGGGGAAAATTTGCTACATTGCTTCGCGACTCCCTCGAAAGACCATGACGCTACGACCACGCTATCCATGGTCAGGCTCATCTGCGAGCGCCAGCCGTCGCTCTTGACTCAAATCACACCCTTTGGCTACACGCCTCTGATGCACTTGACCTTCAGCCACTGCCACGATCACTGGCGGCCAAATGAGCCACAAGCCGATCGAGATGCCCTGTTCAGGAGCCTCGCAAAATACATGTCCCTTTACGAAGCTCACCAGCGTCGCAGCGAGTAATAATGTTCCTAAACGCGCCGTCCCATAGCCTTTATTAAACCCCACGCGCTCACCTGTCCTCGTCGTCGTCCGTCGTGTCCGGCTCGAGGTCGACGTCCGGCGGGTCGTCGCGCGCGGCGTCGAAGAACGACGCCGCGCGGACGCCGCCGACGGGCCGCGCGAGCGGCAGGCGGAAGCGCGCGCCCGCGCGGAGCGCGGCGAGCGCCTGCGCGGACCGCGCGGCGAAGTCGAAGCGGTGGGCCCGCGTCGCCGCGTCGTAGCGGCCCAGCGCCGCCGCGACGTCACCGCCGCCGGCCGCGAGGCACGCCTTGAGCGCGATGGCGTCGAGCATCGCCGCGCGCAGCCCGCTGCCGACGAGCGGCGAGAAGAGGTGCGCCGCGTCGCCGAGGAGGGCGAGGCGGCCCCGGCTCGCCCGCGCGGCGGCGAGGTGGTAGAGCGGGTGGCGCACGACGGGCCGGCCGCCGCCGGCCGTCGCGGCGACGACGGTCGCGGGCCTGTGTGGAAATCAACCAGTGAGATGGGACGTCGGGGCCAAACTTCAGAAATCTCTAGCTCGGTCAAATCGAAGTCGATTTGGCTGATTTTTGGACGAATCGATTGCTCTCGTCGAGTTCTCGAAGCACAGCAGAAAACCTTGCGTCGAAACGGTCGCATACGCGCACATTGAAGTCGGGTTGAAGATTTGATTTCCACACAGCCGCGGGCCACGGCGTCGGGAACGCGGCCGCGGCGCGCGCGACGGCGGCGTCGACGTCGGCGTCGCCGGCGCCAGCGTAGGCGTGCGGCGGCGCGTCGCCCTTCGGTCTTCGCGGGGGCTCCGGCGCGGGCGCCGTGACGCCCCAGTTGAGCGCGGGGCCGACGGCGTAGCCGTCGAGGCGTGTGTCGCCGTGCTGCCAGAGGAAGAAGGTCCCGTCCGCGCGGCCGCCGAGGGCGGCGAGGGGCGCGAGGCCGCGGTAGAGGCAGAAGCCGCTGTAGGTCGGCGTCGCCGTCGCGTCCACGCGGCGCCGGAGCGTCGACCGGCCGCCGTCCGCGAGGACGACGAGCTCGTAGGGCCCGCGGTCGGCGCCGCCCGCCAGGACGATGTGCGCGCCGCCGGGCCCGTCTTTAACGTCGGCGACGGCGGCGCCGAGGCGCAGGTCCGCGACGCCGTCGCGCAGCCAGTCCCAGAGCCGACCGTAGGCGACGGCGGGCTGGCTGCACGGCGCCGCGGGGCCGTCGGGGTGCTCGCGCGTCAGCGCGTTCATCTCGAAGGGCGGCGGGCGCGGCGCCCGGGGCCGGATCGCGTCGTAGGGGACATTGCACGAGAGCCCGCCGCCGCGGTCGCTGAAGGGCGCGCCGTGCTTCTCGAAGACCGTGACAACGAAGCCGGAGTCCTGGAGCACCTGCGCCGCCGACAGGCCGCCGAGGGACGCGCCGACGACGGCCGCGCGCCGGCGCTTGTCGGCCATGCGTCGCGATTCAAGGGTGCCCCATGCAAAGTCCGGCCATAGGCTGCCCCATGCTCTCTGACACGAGGGGCAGTGTCGGCGTCAATCTTCAAGAAAAAACAGCGCGCTCTCATCGGCGCTGGGGCAGCCCCTCTCCGACTGGGAGAGCGTTTTAGGCGGCCGCGTCGCGCCGCGCCGCCGAGTTCGCCATGCGCAAGGCGTCGCTGCGCGGCGGGCGCCTGAAGCAGATGGGCGCCATGGCGAACCTGTTCACGTCGGCGGAGCGGCCGCCGCCGCGCGACGCCGCGGACAAGGGCCGGAGCGCGCTGCTGGAGCAGCTCGACGAGAAGGCGCTGGACCGGCTCAAGGACGAGTTCCTGCGGCGGGGCGGGTCCCGCGGCGTCGACCGCGCGGGCTTTTTAGGCGCCGTGCGGTCCATCTGGCCCGGCGGGTTGGACCGGTCGCGGCTCGCGTCGCTGCAGCACGTCTTCGACGAGGGCGACGCGGACGGCGCGGGCGTGCTGCGCTGGGACCAGTTCAGCTCCTACTACTGCGCCGTGGCGTCGGCGTCCCAGAGCGGCCAGCGCAGCGACCTGTTCGGCACGGCCTACAAGCCGCGGCCCTACCTCGGGGAGGACGCGTTCAAGCGCGCGCGCATCGCGAAGCTCCACTACGTGGCGAAGCTCGAGGCGCTGCTCGTCGTCGAGGTGGGGTCGCCGGCCATCGGCGTCTTCCCCGCGGGCGAGAAGGGCGGCCTGGAGCCCGGGCCGCGGCAGCGGTGGACGCCCGACGGCGAGGGGTCCGTCGAGGAGGTGCTGTACGTGGCGCCGCGGCGCCAGCTCGTCGTGGCGCGGAGCGTGGGGCCCTTCGGCGTCTACGACGTCAAGTGGGGCGCGGCGGTGCCGCTGCGCCGGGTCGAGTTCGAGGCGCCGAGCGAGCGCGTCGAGCCCGCGCGGCTCTTCTGCTACGGCGAGCCAACGGACTGCCTCTTCGCCTTCGCGCCGACGACGGCGACGCTGGCGACGTGGTCCATGGAGGAGCGGCGCCTGCTGAGCGTCGTGACGCCGCACCGGGGCGGCATCGTCGGCGCCGTCGCGCTGGACCGCGCGAATCTGCTCGTGACCGCGGGCCAGGACAAGAGGCTGCTGGTCCACGACCTGGGCGACCTCTTCGAGGGCGGCGCGGGCCTGCCCCAGGTGCGCCACGACATCAACGGCGGCGGCGGCGCCATCCGGGCGCTGGCCTACTCCGACGAGTACGGTCTGTTGGTGACGGCGGGCTACGAGTGCGAGGCCAACTGCCTGGACCCGCTCGTCAGCGGCCGCATCGGCGTCCAGATGCGCCTCGTGGGCCACCGCCACCCGCTCAGCGCCGTCGCCGTCGTCACGCTGCCGAGCGGCAGCCACAAGCGGGGCTCGCGCGACGCCGCGGTCACGCTCGACACGAACGGCGTCTTCCGCTTGTGGGACCTGGACCGGGCCCACTGCGCGCACGACCACCACGGCTCCGTGGCGCTGTGCCTCCACACGTTCCGCGTGGCGTCGGCCGTCGACGAGGTCGTGCGGCCGCGATTTTTATGCGGCGCGTGGGGCCGGGGCCGCGCCTTGGTCGCGGCGACGCGGCACCGGGCCTACTTCTTCGAGGCCGTGGCCTTCGACGACGGCGCCGCGGAGGACGACGGCGGCGTGAAGCGGGCCAACGCCGAGGCGCCCGTGGCGCTGGCCTACAGCGCCTGGATGGCCCAGTTCTACGTCTTCGACGCGCGCCGCGCGACGGTGCTGGAAGGTCTCGACGTCGGCGAGGCGGCCTACGAGCCGCGGGCCTTCGAGCACTCGCTCCGCGGCGGCGGCAAGGCCGACGCGGAGAGCGGGTCCTCGGAGGTCACGGCCGCGGCCGCGTGCCCGCGCGCGCGCAAGGTCTTCGTCGGGTACGCGTCGGGCCGCGTCGTCGCCGTCGGCCTCGCGCTCGAGGAGACCGTCGCGACGTACCACCCGCACCTCGAGCGCGTTTTAGCGCTCCACTACGTGCCCAAGTTCGAGGTGCTCGTGACGATCGGCGGCGACCGCACGCTCGCGGTGCACGACGGCCGCGTCGACGCCGGGGCGGGACAAGGGCGCGAACTTCCCGACTTCAAAGGCTCCTCTCTCGGCCGTTTTCCACTCGTTTCGGCTGATTCTTGGACGAGCGATCGTCTCTTGGAACGGTCTCGAAGCGTGGATGCTTTTTTCCGGAACGCGCGCGCGCGGAACACTCGCGTTGAAGCGACGTTGAATCACGCTTTGCCCGCCCAGGTCGACACGGGCGACGAGGACAAGCAGACCGCGGAGATGAACCGGCGGCGGCGGTTCCGCTTCGTCCACGGCGCGCACGACGGGGCGCTCGTCGCGACGGCGCTCGACGCGGATTTGGGTTTGCTGGCGACGGCGTCGTCGGACCTGAGCGTCCGCGTCTGGGACCTCGCGACGCTGCGTTTGCTATCGCTGCTGCCAATCGCGGACGGCCTCGAGGTCGGCGCGCTCTGCTTCCTGGGGCCCTTCCCGGGCCTCGCCGTGGCCCGGAGCGACGGCAGCGTCGGGCTCTACGCCGTGCGGGGCCACGCGCGCGCGCGCAAGGGCGCCGCGACGCCGCCGCTGCTCGCGACGCTGACGCCCGGCGCGACGGCGATCCCGCCGACGTCGCCGCTCCGGAGCCCGCGGCCGAACCCGCTCGCGCCGCCGACGGCTCTGGTCTTCCTGCCCCCGGAGGACCGCGGCGCGACGGCGCCGGGCGCGGCCGTCGAGGGGTTGTTAGTGGACGGCGACGACGCGGGCGGCGCTAGGACGTGGCGCGTGCCCCTCGACACGCTTGGCCTCTTCAGCCCCAAGGACGCGTTCACGGCGGGCGTCGACATGCGCCAGGAGCTCGGCTGGGACGACCCGGGCGATTCGCTGCGGGGCGCCGGGGCCACGGAGCTCCGGGCGGCGCTCGACGACTCGCGCGCGCGCGGCGGCGCGGGCCGCGACGCCGCGCCGCCGCCCCCGAGCGACGACCGCCGCGACAGCGACGCGTCCGCGACGGCGTCGACCCTCGCGCTGTCGCCCAAGGGCGCGCCGTCGCCCAAGGGCGGCCCCGGGTCCCCGGGCCTCGGCCGCTCCAAGTCCGCGCCCGCGTCGACCTTCGACCGCCGAAAGACGGTCCGGGGGGCCGCGGACGAAAACGAATCGGGCGGCGACGACGACGGCGGCTCGCCGAAGCTCAAGGCGGACAAGCCCCGGCGGTCGCCGACGCTCCGCGCGTCCGCGGCGAAAAAGACGCTCGCGCAGAAGAAGTCGCCGAAACTGCTCCGGAAGACGCACATGGAGCGCGCGCCGAAGCACCGCGCGCCGACGCTCAAGCCCGCGCCGGAGAAGGGCCGGAGCGCGCCGACCATCGAGGCGTCGGCCTACGAGCGCATCCACGACGACGGCGTCGTCAGCCTACAGACGATGGCGCTGCCCGGCCGCGACCGGGCGCGGCGCCGCGTGCTGTCGCTCTGCCGCGACGGCACCGCCGCGGTGCTCTACGACACTTTGAAGCGCCACGCGCTCCTCGACGCGTCCGCGGCGGAGAAGCCCAAGGCCCGCACGTCCTGGCTCGGCTCGAAGCAGGGCAGGAAAAGGGTGCGAAATTCCCAACTTCAAAGGCTCCTATCTCGGTCGTTTTCCACTCGTTTTGGCTGATTTTTGGACGAGCGATCATCTCTCGGAACGGTCTCGAAGCATGGATGCTTTTTCCGGAACGCGCGCGTGCGGAACACTCACGTTGAAGCGACGTTGAATCTCTCTTTTCCTGCCCAGGCTCGAAGAAGTCCGGCGCGTCCGTGCGGCCCATCGACCGCGCCTTCGACAGGACCTGCGACGCCGTGGAGGCGAGGCTCGGCGAGTGGACCGCGGCGGAGCGGCGCGCGTCGGGCATTTCCTTGGGGTCCTTCGAGAGGGGCGGCGCGGGGCGGCCGGACCAGCACGCGACGCTCCTGCTGCGCAACGTCGTCATGCGCCAGCGCGAGGCGCGCCGGGACGACTCCAGCGACGGCGAGAGCGGCTCGGACGACTCCGGCACGCCGCGCATTCCGCCGCCCGTGGACGAGATGCCGAGCCAGCGCCGCGTCCGCGCGACGATGATGTCGCAGGCGAAGCGCGGCGCGCTCGAGCGGCCCAAGACCGCGCCGCCCCTCGGCCGCGGCGCGCCGACGCCGGAGCCGCCGAAGACGCCGGAGAAGGGCGCCGCGCCGGCCGCGCTCGCGTACGCGAACCACTCGCGGGAGCTCGACCTGCGGACGACCGCGTCCGTCAACGAGCGCAAGAAGCAGAAGACCGAGGAGCTCATCGAGACCATCGTCGCCGGCGCGGGGCTCGGCGCGAAGCGGGCCCCGCAGAAGCAGCGGCCCGCGTCCGCGCGGCCCGCGGAGCGGCCCGCGGAGGCCTTCTCGAACGGCGTCTACGAGCGGTCGTCGTCCGTCGGCGGCTGGGACTGGCCGTCGACGCAATCCTTCGCGGCGGGCGGTGGCGGCACGCGGGGGTCGGCGACGACGGAGAGCCGGCGCCATTTTAGTTTGGCCGCGGACTCGCTGGAAGAGAGCGGCCACGCGTCGCCGAGCGGCGTCGACGAGGTCGTGCCCGAGGGCGCGATCCTGGCGAGTCTGGAAAAGTCCGTGCGGCTCCAGAGCCGCTTCGACGCGCTCACTCGGGCCGAGGACGACCGGGCGGAGACGCGCGAGGAGAAGGACCGCGCGCACCGCCGGCGGCGGCGGCTTTTGGGGGCTCGAGGCGCGCGGCGGCCCGCGGCGAAGTCGTGGCGCGACGACAGCGGCAAGAAGGTCGAGCGCGACGCGAACCTGCCGACGGCGGCCTTCTACAAGACCTACGGGCGCTTCGGGAACTACGATCTGGCCACGGTGCTCCACGCGCGGACCGTCTTCAAGGAGTTCGACCCGGACGGCACGGGAAAAGTGAGCGCGAAACTACTGAAGCAGATCACGGAGGACCGGAGCCACTTCGTGCGCCACATGTCGTCCCTCAAGGCCATCTTGCAGGGCCTCGTGCTCATGTGCGAGGAGGCGCGGACGTCGACGTGCACCTTCGCGCGGTTTTTGTGCCTCGTGATGTGCGACGCGAACGACGCCGAGCGCGCGCGCGCGGAGTCGACGGCGAAGATCCTGGACCTGCTCGTGTCCCTCAAGGCGACGCTGGCGGAGGAGAAGCCGGCGACCATGGGCGCGCTCGTCAAGGTGCTCGAGACGGAGATGTCGCCCGTGTTCAAGGAGTGCAAGAGCGGCACCGTGACGCTCAACGACCTGCGCGAGCTCGTCAAGGTCGCCTTCGGCGACAAGGAGCGCGTCGACGTGGAGCGCATGGCCTTCCGGCTGAAGATCGACCTCGAGAAGGAGATGACGCAGCAGAACCTCGTGGACTTCTTCAAGCTGCAGTACTCGGAGCCGACGCAGCGGAAGAGCCGCCGGTCGTCGATCTCGGGCTCCGCGGACTCGCGCTGGTCCATGGTGTTGGACCTCCGCGCGAAGATGCGCTCGAGCCGACGGTTGTCCATCTCCCTCGACTCCCACCCGGCCTCCGAGAAGGGGCCCAAGGCCGAGGGGTCGCCGCCGGCGGTGAACTTCGCGGTCCAGGCGCTCCTCGGCGGCCGCCGGTCCTCCGCGGGCGGACGGCCGACGACCTTCGCCTCGGTCCTCGCGGGCGACGTGCCCCTCCACCACAAGTTCGACGCGTAAGGGGGGCGTTATGCGGTGGCGGTGGGGAGGCGTCGGATCCGGACTCGGAATAGTCCTCGGAATCGCCGAGCTGCACAAAATCTGTGGCTGGAGGGCGCGACAGCCGATCATGCGCGGCGCCCCTGATGGACAAGCCGGGAGAGAAAGATTGGGAGAAGAAGCAGCGCGAGTATGAGGTGAAGAAGGCCAGAGCGAAGGCGTTCAAGCTCCGCCTGACCTGCACCATCTGCGGTGAGAAGTCAAAACTCCCGTGCCCCTGTGGAACAACACAGTACTGCTCCGTGGCCTGCCAGAAAATCGACTGGCGCGAGCGGGGCCACCGCAAGGCCTGTAAGAAGATCCGGGCCGAGCGGGCCGCGGAGGCGGCCCGGGCGGAAGCGCCGACACCCCCGCCGTCGCCCCCGCGGGAGGTCTTCTACGGCCCCGCGCCGCGGTCGCACGCCGACGAGGTCCGCGCGCGCATCGCCGCGGAACACGAGGCCGCTCGTCTGCGACGCGAGGCGAACCCGGAGCCCGAGCCGCGGTCGGCGCGTGAGGGGTCGCGGTGCCCGATCTGCCTCGAGGACTGGGACGTCAACCAACATATGACCATTTTCACCTGTTGCTTCCGGACGATTTGCACATCGTGCGCTGACAAGGTCGAATTCACGGCGTGTACTTTCTGTGCGACGCCGGTGTCGAAGACGCATAAGCAGGAACTGGCAGAAGTTCGTCGTCACGTGGAGAACGAGCTCCCGGAGGCGATTGTGTATTTGGGAAATTCCTACCGCGACGGACGGCTCGGCCTCGTGAAATCCATGAAAAAGGCCGCGAAACTTTACAAGCGTGCGGTGGAGCTCGGAAATTTGCCGGCGATGGTGAGCCTTGGGATGGTGTATGAGGTCGGATATGGTGGTGCCAAACTGGACAAGAAGAAGGCGAGGCAGCTGTTTCAAATGGCATCGGACGGGGGCAACGCAATCGCGCATTTCAATCTTGGAAATCATTTAAGTCGAGAGGGACAAATGGAGGAAGCGTTCCGCCTTTACAAGATGGCCGCTGAGCATGGACTCACGCCGGCCGAATTCAATGTTGGCCTTAGCAACGAGAAGGGTGTCGGCGTGGAACGCGACGTCGACGAGGCCAAGCGCTGGTACGCGCGCGCGGCCGCCAAGGGCGACGAGCGCGCGGCCAGGGCGCTCGCCAGGGTCGAAGCCGCCTAGCTCTAATACCCTTGTATCACCGCGACCAAGTCCGGGAACTACTCTCTAGCTGGGTACTAGTAGTGCCGGTGGTGGTGTGCGGTCGTCGCGCGCGCGTCCCGGCCGGCACGGTATCGCATCGATCGAGGATTTGCGGTAAGGATGTGGTAAGGCGGGCACTGCCAGGAACTGCCGCGCGCCTGTATCTTTGCCCGGTCGCCTCCGCAAGCGCCGACACACACCACAAGCGACGATAGTACGATGTCCATCGACGACATCATCGAGCGGTTCGCGGGCTCGAACCTGTCGGACTCGACGCCTGCGCTCTTCGACGGCTCGGCGGCCGATGAAACCGGTCAACCCTGCGAGTTTAAGGCGGACTATGGGCTCCTCCAGAAGATGGAGGCCGCACGGCCTCGGGACGCGCTCCTCTACGACACGGCGCACCTCGTGGGCGCGCGCGTCCGCCTCTCGAACCTCTGGCGGCGCGACAACGCGGCGCTCGCGGGCAAGGTCGCGACGATCGTCGGCGATCCGTTCCCGTTCATCGTGCCCCAGTACGTGACGGACCTCGACGATGTCTACGTGAAGATGCTGTGCCCCGTCGCGCTCGAGGCGACGGGGGAGCTCCCGGGCCTCGCGGCGCGGCTCGTGGACCAGCACACGTCGAATCTCCCGGGCGCGGGATTCAGCGGCGGCTGGCCCGGCGACGGCGTCGCCTGCATCGACGCCAAGAACCTCGAGTTCGTCTGCCAGGCCTGCGGGCGGCCGGGCAAGCTCCAGGCGTGCAAGCGCTGCGAGTTCGCCAAGTACTGCTCGAGGGAGTGCCAGCGGCGGCACTGGCCCGCGCACAAGCCCGCGTGCGCGGCGTCCGCGAAGCGGCGCGCCGAGCGGTCGGGCCCCGCCGCCGCGCGGCTCCGCTTCCCCATCGGCGCGTGGGTCGAGTCGAAGATCGACCTCGACGGCCTGCGCGCGAGCGCGGCGGGGCGCGACCCGAGCCACCCGCCGTTCTGCAAGTGCTGCCGCGACGAGGCGTTCACGATGGGGGCCGAGAACGGGGAGTGGGCGCCCGCGCTCGTCGTCGGGCACGTCGGCGACGCGTACGTGCTCTGCTTCGCCGACGTGCCCGTGCCCGGGTACCCGGCGCGGATGATCCCCGGCGGCGAGGGCGAGCGCTGGGTCGAGGCGCTTTTTTGCCGGAGGACGCCGGCCGGGTCCGCGAGCTGCCGGAGGTCGACCTCGCCGAGTTCTACGACGCGCGCGTCCGCGACCTGGGCTACGGGTCGGCCGCGGGCTGCGAGTGGGACACGAGCCGCCTCGAGCCCGGCGAGGCCGCGTCGGGCACCGTCGTCTGCCTCGCGTCGCTGCTCTGCGGGGCGGCGCACGACAAGGACCTCGTCGAGTTCTCCTGCATCGCGCGGGGCATGCTGGGCACGGACGTCGGCCGCGCCGTCGCGCGCTTCGTGCGCGGCGGCGGCCACACGGTGCTCCAGATGGCGGCCAAGTACCTGCGGCCGACGCACGTGACCGTGCTCTTGGATCTGGGCGCGGCCGCGATCATCGACGCCCAGACCGACGAGGGCAACACGGCGCTGAGCCTCGCCGCGCGGCGGCCGAACCTGACGATCGTCAGGCGCCTCCTCGCGGCGGGCGCGGACCCGCACCTAGAGGCGGACTTCGGCGGCTACGGCCTCACGGCGCTCGCGTGCGCGGTCCAGGGCGGGTTCCGCGAGGTCGCCGAGCTGCTCGCCGACCAGCCCTGCACGGCCGAGGAGCGCGCCGTCGAGGAGCTCGCGCTGCTCTTCGTCCTTTTAGGCATCGAACTGCAGCGCGAGAAAGGCCCCGAGCCGTCGCGATGGACGGGCTCGGACCAGAAGTCGCGCGACATGCGCCACCTGAACAAGGTGCACGTCGGCGCCGCGGCGGAGCTCCTCTTCGGGCTCGAGGCCCGCGACGGTTGGTTCGAGGCCGCGCAATACCAGAGCGTCTTCAACGTGGAGGCGCTGACCTTCGACTTGGACGCGGCGGCGGGCATCGTGCGCCCGGTCATGGCCCAGCGCCGCGCCGAGCGACGGGCCGGTGGCGTGCAAGGGTAAGCCTGCACACTAGTAAGGTATTGAAGGCTTGCGGAGGTCCGCCCAAACCTCCACTGCAAGCTCGTCGCCGACTCTGCCGGGCGAGACAGCCGATCATCGACGCGACGCCCCCGATGGACAAGCCGGGAGAGAAAGATTGGGAGAAGAAGCAGCGGGAGTATGAGGTGAAGAAGGCCAGGGCGAAGGCGTTCAGGCTCCGCCTGACCTGCACCATCTGCGGTGAGAAGTCAAAACTCCCGTGCCCCTGTGGAACAACTCAGTACTGCTCCGTGGCCTGCCAGAAAATCGACTGGCGCGAGCGGGGCCACCGCAAGGCCTGTAAGAAGATCCGGGCCGAGCGGGCCGCGGAGGCGGCCCGGGCGGAAGCGCCGACGCCCCCGCGGGAGGTCTTCTACGGCCCCGCGCCGCGATCGCACGCCGACGAGGTCCGCGCGCGCATCGCCGAGGAGCACGAGGCGGCGCGTTTGCGGCGCGAGGCGAACCCGGAGCCGGAGCCGATTCCGGGGCGGCGCGGGTCGCGATGCCCGCTCTGTTTCGAGGACTGGGACGTGAACGGCAGTGTTCAGTTGCGTCCCTGTTGCTTCGGGCATATTTGTTCAACCTGTGCCAAAAAGCTTTCCACCGAAGAGCCGTGTCCTCTCTGTCGCACACATGTTCCAAGTCCCGCGGCAGAGCTTGCGATGATTCGTCGCCACGCGGAGAATGACGTTCCACAAGCAATTCAGCACTTGGGTAATCTGTACCGCACCGGTCAGCTCGGCCTCGTGAAATCCGCGAAGAAGGCCGCGAAAATTTACAAGCGTGCGCTGGAGCTCGGCAATGTGAACGCGATGTTGTCTCTTGGGGAGTTGTATGAACACGGAGAGGGAGAGATCAAAATGGACAAGAAGAAGGCGAGGCAACTGTTTCAAATGGCAGCGGACCGCGGCCTCGCGAAAGCTCAGTGCAATCTTGCATCCTGTTTTCATCGAGACGGACAACTGGAGGAAGCGTTCCGCCATTTCAAGATGGCTGCTGAGCAAGGACTCACGACTTCCCAATACAATGTTGGCGTTTGCTACGAGAAGGGTGTCGGCGTGGAACGCGACGTCGACGAGGCCAAGCGCTGGTACGCGCGCGCGGCCGCCAAGGGCTACAAGAGCGCGATCCAGAATCTCGCCAGGCTCACGCCCGCCTAGCCTCTAATGCCCTTTATCACCGCGCCCAACTTGGGCCCCAAGGCCGGGAACTAGCGCCGCTGGTGGTGGTGGTGCGCGCGGTCCTCGGCCTGGGCCCGGCGGATGCGCTCCGCGAGGGCCGGCGAGACGCGGTTGACGGAGTCGAGGCCCCGGTGGGCGCCGTCGGCGACGTGCGTGTGGCGCGTGCGCGCCGCGCGCGCGACGGCGCGGCGCTCCGCGCGGACCGCGCGGCCGCCGACCGCGAGGAGGTGGTGCACGTTCTCGACGACCTCGACGGACGTGCGGAGCTTCGTGATCTGCTCCAGGCTCAGGTTGTCGTAGGCGACGACGAGGCGCCGGATCTGGTGGAGCAGCGACAGGAGGTGCGGGTCGCCGAGGTTCTCCATCTTGTGCACGTCGACGTCCCATTCCCGGGAGACGCCGAACTCTTTGAAGCCGCAGAGGGCCATCATCTCGCGCTTGATCGTGAGGTGGGCGTCCTTGAAGACGGCGTAGGCGCTGGTCGACCCGAGGCGCTCGTCGTCGTCGCCGCGGTTCTCGCGCGCCGCCGCCGCCGCGGGCGCACCGGGCCCCGGCGCGAAGGGCCTCCGCGGCGACGGCCCCGGCGGCTCGCAGGACCCGATCATCGTCGCGAGGCGGCCCTTCTCGTGGCCCGTGAGCATGACGCAGACGCCCTTGAGCTTGGCCATCGTCGCGTCCATATCGCCCAGGTCGCCGGACCGCGTGTACGTCTCGACGTCGCGCGCGCGCTCGTGCCTGCGCGCGACTCACATCTTCAACCCGACTTCAAGGTTCGATCATGCGACCGTCTTGGCGCACGATTTCGTGCGCTCCGTCGAGAACTCGACGAGCGCGAACGACTCTTCCAAGAATCAGCCAAAACGACGTCGATTCGATCGAGCGAGAGACTTCTGACCCTCTGACATCCAAAACCAGCGGTTGATTCGCACGCAGGCTCGTGCGCGTCCTTGAGCTCGCGCGACATGGCGTCGATGGTGGCCAGGAGCTCCCGCTCGAGCTCCGTGAGCGCGTGGCGGTCGCTCCGGCGCCGGCCGCCCTTGGCCGCGGGCGCGGGCGGCGTCTCCGCGGAGGCGCCGTCGCCCGGCGGCGCCGCGAGGCCGACGAGCGCGGACGCGCGTCTTCTTAGCGCGCCGAGGAAGCCCGGGTCCCGGCCGTCGCCGTCCTCGGAGTCGACGGACGGCCGCCGCGGCGTCGACGCGCCGCTCGCCGGCGGCGAATTTCGCGGCGCGCGCCCGGGCGACAGCGCCGCGGACCGGCGCCGCATCGCGCGCCGCAGGTCCCCGAGCCGCGCGTCCTTGAGCGTGGAGAGGGACGACTCCGCGCGGTCGATGAGGCCCGCCTCCTCGGCCTCGCGCGCGGCCGCGGCGCAGCCGCACGGCGTCCGCCGGAGGCAGTGGCGGCAGTGCGCGGGCGGCGCCGCGGCCGCCGAGTCGTCCGCGGGCGTCGCCGGGCGCCGCGGCTTCCGCTGCTTCCGCGGCGTGTCGTCGGCGAAGGCCGGCGGCCGCTCCCAGGCCGGCGGGCCATCGCCGTCGACGTAGTAGACGCGCTTCGTGGCGGGGTCGACGAGCTCGCGCGCGGCGCCGCGCTCGCGGACGACGCCCTCGGGCAGCTTCCGCCCCGCGCGCTGGGCGTCGACCCAGGCGTCGGGCGCGTCCCAGCGCGTCTCGCCGCGCGCGTCGTCGGCGAAGTAGGGCACGCCGCGCGCGTCGACGCGCTGCGTCCAGCGCGGCGTGTCGTCGCGGCCGCCGGCGCGGCCGCCGTCCTCGTCGCTGTCGAGGAGCTCGACGGTGCCCGCGTAGCCCTTCTTCCAGGACGTGTCGACGCGGTTCGTCGGGTCCCACTGCGCGTAGTGGAGCTCGCGCGCGGCCGCGTCGAGGCCCTTGAGCGCCTTGGCCGCGGAGACGATGGACGACCGCCGCCGCCAGACCGTGCGGTTGCGCTCGTCCTGGCGCCGCAGCTCGTCGGCGACGGCCCGCGTCTCCGCGCAGCGCCGGCCGTCGCCCTTGCGCAGGAAGTGGTGCTCCCTGTGCTTCGGTCTGCCGTCGTCGACGGACGACCCGAAGGCGACTTTAGGCCGCGCGCGCGGCCCGCGGCCGGGCGACTTCGCGGGCGACGCGCCGGACGCCTCGGACGCCGCGGGCGTGTGCCACTCGTCGCTCGAGGGCGTGCGCGCGCCGGGCGAGTCCGCGACGAGGCTCGGCGCGCGGCCCTCGCCGCCGGGCCCGCCGTCGAAGAGCTGCACGGCGCCGCTCCGGTCCCGGTAGGGTTCGCCGCCGCCGCCCACGCCGACGATGCGGCTCTTGCGCACCGAGGGCGTCAGCTTCGACGACGAGATCGGGTCGCCCCGCGCGTCGAAGAGCTCCGCGGCCCCGCGCGACGGCGCCTCGTCGTCGTCCGACGGCGACTCGACGCCGCGCGGGACGCGCGGCGCCCGCCCCTCGCTGCCGGGGCCGCCGTCGAAGAGCTGCACGGCCGCGCTCCGGGGCCGCGCGTCGCCGCCGTCGCCGCCCATGCCCACGATGCGGCTCTTGCGGACGACCGCGCGCGCGTCGCCGCCGCCGTCGTCGTCGTCGCCGCCGTCGTCGCTGAAGCCGTCCCCCTCGGGGGGCTCGGGCACGTCGCCGGAGCCAGCGACGATGGGCGTTCCGCCGCCGTAGACCTTGCTAGGTCCCTCGTCGTCGTCGTCGTCGTCGCCGCCGCCGCCCATGCCGACGATGCGGCTCTTGCGCACCGACGGAGCCTCATCCGCGCGGCCTCGATCGGCCTTGCCCGGCGCCGCTGCGACGTCCTCGATGGGCGTTCCGCCGCCGTAGACCTTGCTAGGTCCCTCGTCGTCGTCGTCGTCGTCGCCGCCGCCGCCCATGCCGACGATGCGGCTCTTGCGCACCGACGGAGCCTCGTCCGCGCGGCCTCGATCCGCGCGGCCTCGATCGGCCTTGCCCGGCGCCGCTGCGACGTCCTCGATGGGCGTTCCGCCGCCGTAGACCTTGCTAGGTCCCTCGTCGTCGTCGTCGTCGTCGCCGCCGCCGCCCATGCCGACGATGCGGCTCTTGCGCACCGACGGAGCCTCGTCCGCGCGGCCTCGACCGGCCTCGCCCGGCGCCGCTGCGACGTCCTCGATGGGCGTTCCGCCGCCGTAGACCTTGCTAGGTCCCTCGTCGTCGTCGTCGTCGTCGCCGCCGCCGCCCATGCCGACGATGCGGCTCTTGCGCACCGACGGAGCCTCGTCCGCGCGGCCTCGACCGGCCTCGCCCGGCGCCGCTGCGACGTCCTCGATGGGCGTTCCGCCGCCGTAGACCTTGCTAGGTCCCTCGTCGTCGTCGTCGTCGTCGCCGCCGCCGCCCATGCCGACGATGCGGCTCTTGCGCACCGACGGAGCCTCGTCCGCGCGGCCTCGACCGGCCTTGCCCGGCGCCGCTGCGACGTCCTCGATGGGCGTTCCGCCGCCGTAGACCTTGCTAGGTCCCGCGTCGTCGTCGTCGTCGTCGCCGCCGCCGCCCATGCCGACGATGCGGCTCTTGCGCACCGACGGAGCCTCGTCCGCGCGGCCTCGATCGGCCTTGCCCGGCGCCGCTGCGACGTCCTCGATGGGCGTTCCGCCGCCGTAGACCTTGCTAGGTCCCTCGTCGTCGTCGTCGTCGTCGCCGCCGCCGCCCATGCCGACGATGCGGCTCTTGCGCACGGTCGGACGGTCGGTCCCCAGGGGAGCGCCCCAGCTCGTATAGCCCTCCGCTCCTTCGGCGCCCGCGGGAAGCCGCGGCCCGTTCCTCGCGTCGCCCGAGTGCACCGGGAGGTCGAGCGCCAGCGTCAGCTCCTCCGGCGTCGTCATTAACTCGCGCGACGACGCCCGCGCGATCCTGCCCACGGGGGCGCACTCGGGCGCGTCGATGGTGCCCTCCAGCTTCGGCGGCAGCTCGAGGCGATCCGCGTCGCCCCCGCCGCCGAATCCGACGATGCGGCTCCTTCGCACGCCCGGCTTCTCCTCGCCCGGCTTCTTCTCGCCGGGACCGCCGCCTTCGACGAAGACGCTCTCCGGCCGCTCCCACTGCGTCTGCCCGTCCGGCGTGATGTAGTAGACGCGCCCGGAGGCCGGGTCGACCTTCTCCTGCCAGTCGTTCGCGGCGCGCACGATGGACTTGGACCGCTGCACCGGGTCCTTGGCGCTCATGTCCCGCACCCAATCGTCCGGCGCGATCCACGTCGTCTCCTGCGTCTGGTCGTTGTGGAAGTAGGGCACGCCGAGCGGGTCGACGAACTCGCGCCAGGGGCTGCCGATGTCCGCGGGCGGGCGGGCCGGCGGCACAAAGGAGACGGTTTCGTCCCAGTCGCCGCCCTGCGCAGGATCGGCGCCACCGCCACCGCCGATTCCAACGATGCGACTCTTGCGCACGCCAGTGGAATCCGCTGCGCGAGTCCTGATGGGCGTGCCGCCGCCGTAGCCGGGCGCCGCCGAGGGGTCCTCGATGGGCGTGCCGCCGCCGTAGACCCGGCCCTGTCCCGCCGCGTCGTCGTAGCCCCCGACGGGAGGAGGCCCGTGTCCGGGGCCGCGCGATCCGCCGAGAGCATCGGCCGCCGGGTCGTCGTAGTCGCCGCCGCCATAGCCGACGATGCGGCTCGCTCGCACGGACGGGCTCGCGCCTCCTTGATCGCCAGCCATCGGGTCGCCGGCCGCCGGATCGTCCGCGCCGCCGCCGAAGCCGACGATGCGGCTCCCTCGGACCGCCGCGCGCGGCGCTCCTGCCGAGTCGTCCATGGGCGTGCCGCCGCCGTAGCCGGCCGCCGCCGAGGGGTCCTCGATGGGCGTGCCGCCGCCGTAGACCCGGCCCTGTCCCGCCGCGTCGTCGTAGCCCCCGACGGGAGGAGGCCCGTGTCCGAGGCCGCGCGATCCGCCGAGAGCATCGGCCGCCGGGTCGTCGTAGTCGCCGCCGCCGTAGCCGACGATGCGACTCCCTCGCACGGACGGGCTCGCACCTCCTTGATCGCCGGCCATCGGATTGCCGGCCGCGGGATCGTCCGAGCCGCCGCCGAAGCCGACGATGCGGCTCCCGCGCACGGCCGCGCGCGGCGCTCCTGCCGAGTCGTCCATGGGCGTGCCGCCGCCGTAGCCGGGCGCCGCCGAGGGTTCCTCGATGGGCGTGCCGCCGCCGTAGACTCTCTCGCTTTCGTCGGCCTCAGCAGATGACGTTCCTGGAACCGTCCGGGGGCGTCGCGTCAGCCGAGCGCGCATCCTTTCGAGCCTGGATGGCTTCTTTGCGGGATTATCCTCGGAAGAGACAGGCTGGCTGGTGGCATCGAACATTTGCACCGCCCCGCTCCGGCCGCGGGAGGGCGCTTCGCCGCCGAGGTCCTCGAGCGAACGATGGGGCAGCTCCGGCGTTGTCATGTTCTCGCGCGACGACGCCCGCGCAACTCTGCCCACGGGGGCGCACTCGGGCGCGTCGATGATACCTTCCAGCTTCGGCGGCAGCTCGAGGCGATCCCCCCCCGGATCCGCGTCGCCCCCGCCGCCGAATCCGACGATGCGGCTCTTTCGTACGCCCGGCTTCTCCACGCCAGCAGCGTCGCCTTCGACCAAGATGCTCTCCGGCGGCTCTCCTTCTACGAAGACGCTCTCCGGCCGCTCCCACTGCGTCTGTCCGTCCGGCGTGATGTAGTAGACGCGCCCGGAGGCCGGGTCGACCTTCTCCTGCCAGTCGTTCGCGGCGCGCACGATGGACTTGGACCGCTGCACCGGGTCCTTGGCGCGCATGTCCCGCACCCAATCGTCCGGCGCGATCCACGTCGTCTCCTGCGTCTGGTCGTTGTGGAAGTAGGGCACGCCGAGCGGGTCGACGAACTCGCGCCAGGGGCTGCCGATGTCCGCGGGCGGGCGGTCGGGCGGCACGAAGGACACGGTTTCGTCCCAGTCGCCGCCCGGCGCAGGATTGGCGCCGCCGCCACCGCCGATTCCGACGATGCGACTCTTGCGCACGCCGGTGGGGTCTGCCGCGCCACCCCTGATGGGCGTGCCGCCACCGTAGGGCGCCGCCGCGGGATCCTCGATGGGCGTCCCGCCGCCGTAGACGCGCTCGCGTCGCCCCGCGTCGTCGTCGTCGACGGTATCGTCGTCGCCTCCGCCCATGCCGACGATGCGGCTCCCGCGCACGGACGGGCCCGCGTCCGCGGCCGCGGCGTCGTCGGCCCGGACCGTCGCGCACACGGAGCACGCGCTGCGTCGCGAGCCGTTGCCCTTGCCGCACTTCGGGCAGCGCCAGGGACCCGAGGCGGGCGTGTCCCCCGCGACCGGCTTCGTCGCGCGCGGCGTCGCGGCGTCCTCCTCCGAGGCCGCGTGCGGGGACGCGGGGTCCCGATCGTCACGCGCGAGAGATGGCGCCGGCGCTC